TCAGCAAAACCTCGGAGACCTTCAGCATATGTATATATATATATACATATACGAATTTACATGTCATCTGTCCGTGCGTCTGTCCGTCCATCTATGTATCTACCTGTCTACGAATCTACCTATCTACCTATCTCTCTATGTATCTATCTGTCCTCGTCGAGCTATCTATCTACCGATCTGCCCTTATCTATCTATATATCTATCTATCTCCTTATCTATCCATCTATCTGCCCTTATCTACCTGTCTTGATTTAATCTATCTAAGCTATCTTCTGTATCTGATCTATCTAGTCTATCTAGTCTATCTAATCTACCTATCTAATCGATCTTACTTATCTAATCTATCTAGTCTATCTTATCTATCTAATCCAGCTCATCTATCTAATCTTTCTTATCTATAGATCTACATATCTAACTGTCTATCTATCTATCTATCTATCTATCGATCTATCTATTTATCTATGTGTCTATCCATCTATCTATCTATCTATCTGTCTATCTAGCTGCCCTTATCTATCCTTATCTTTTCTAATCTAATCTAATCTAACCTAATCTATGTAGTCTTAGAATGGATAGACTCTCTAACCTATCTACTCTATCTAGCTGTCTAACTAATGTATCGAAATGTCAAAGGTGTAAGGACAAGGAAAGTAGAATGGACAGATGTCGCCGATCGCAACAGCATAAAGTCGGAGTCTTCAACGCAGCTTCGAAGGAGCTAGCCGACCATTATCGGACGTTTCTGGGGCGTAGGGTTTGGGGAGTTTAGGATTTAGGGTTACCGCGACTGCTGTAAGTTTCGCCGTTGTAGGTAGGCAGTGGCACTTGGCTTCTTCCCTCATGAAGACTCTAAAAACCACGAACCTTCATCCACCAGCCCTTAGACCCTTCCTCGGACGGCTGGCTGGCCTCCCTGCAACTCTCGGAGGACAGCTTTGACTGAGCTCCTGTAGAGCTCGGGCGATAAAAACAATAAGAAATGACAGTAGGATAATGTTCGTAATTATAATAGTAGTAAGAGTATGTAAAGCAAAAGCGGTACACTAATAATACAAACATGTTAGTATCAGATTAACACCACTAGCAAGAATAACATCAATCAAAACAATAAGAATAGAAACAACGGTGGTAATCATACAAATTTCAATAGCAAATAAGCGAATGTATACCTGTGTGCACAGAAAGATATGTGTATGCTGATTAATGTAGGTGCAATATGTAGATGGGTATGTATGTGTTTCTATATATATATATACACATGTGCACATGTATGTAAACATACACAAGCGAGCACATAGGCTACACTACATCCCGTTCCATTAAATCATTACACCAACACAATTAGCATTGCATTGCAGGCAATATACTCGGTAAATAAATAAATAAATAAATAAATATATATATATATACGCATATAAACGAATATACATATATATATATATACAGACAGGCATATGGCTTACATACATATGTACTTACATACATGCCAACATACAGACACACACACACACACATGCAGGCAGACAGCCGGACGGACAGACAGGCAAACAGACAGACACACACACACACACACACATATATATATATATATACAAATACACATACAAGTACACATACACGTATACACGTACATATACATACCTATGTGAAATTATGTACTATATTACAGACCACATTACACTGTACTATGTTGTAATATGTTACCGTGCGTTATAGAGTAATGCGTTTTGTCTTGTCTTTTCGTATCTATTATGCTGTGATATCGTCTCTCCGTCTCGCCTCGCTCGCTCGCCTCGCTCTCTCTCTCTCTCTCTCTTTCTCTGTCTGTATGTACAAAAACATTCCGCACATAAACATACAAACAGGCACACAAACACGCACCACACACACAGAGACACACCCACACACAGACACACACATATATATATATATATATGTAAGATAAGTAGGTGTATGTATACACATACATACATTACATACATACATACATGTACATATATATATATATACAGTATATGTATTCTATATATACATGTATCACATGACTTTGCACATACCTTCACATAGCCCTTTGGCTCGCTGTAAGGGCCGTTTTGCGCTGTGCAGCAGAGTTCCTGCAGCAACGGCACAAGAAATCCCGAAGGTCAAACCCCGAAGCCGAGACTCTAGACCACCAGCCCCTTTTCACCAGGGAGCTCACAAGAGCCCAGATAAATCAGGTGAGGGTTTAGGCTTCATGTTTAAGGTTTAGGGTTTGGGGTTTAGGGCTCGTCTGCTGCCCTTTACTGCCCAGCTTGACCCACAAGACAGTACTCATGACTGGGATCCACCAGCCCTGAACCCTAAAACCTGAACCCAAACCCTGAACCCTGAACCGATAAAGAATTGAACCCTAAACTCCAAACCCCACAAAATCCCCAAAGCCCAGGCGGCCCTAAACCCGAAACCTTCCCTGATTATAATTATAGCATAATGGGCCCCAAAACCCGAAGCCTAGGGCCCTAAACCCGAAACCCCACGGCTCCTGCAGGGTCGGCATCGTTGAGGCTCGGGGTCTCTGCCTCGCCAGCGATCGTCGGGGGCCCAGTGACAGGCAGAGGAACCCCGAAATTCGACGTAATGTAGGGGCCTTAATATACTTACTAACTAGAACATGGTTTTGGGGCCCGAATTGGGACATAATGTAGGGGCCTTAATCTACGTAGTACTTAGAATATGGTTTTGGGGCCCATTAGACTATACTTATAACAAGGAACCCCCAGGAGTATAAAGGTAATTATTGGGCCCCCTATATGAAGAGGAAGCCACTTGGCCAAACAAGCTGGCAGCCTAGAGTCGATTGGGCTTTCGGGCTTGTGTTGTTGTTTAATGCGTGTCCGGTTTGTGGGTTTAGGGCTTCTCGGCTTGAGATATTTAGGGTTTAGGGTTTAGGGTTGGGCTTGAAAACATCATCTACAGGCCAGCCTAGAGGAAATTCGCAATGCCATTAGCTGCCACGAGACATCAGCAGCGCACCCAACCGACACGTCCATGTCATCGAGGAGTTCGTCTTTAGCCTGATACAGCCGCATGCGCTTTGGGTTCTGGGCTCAGGATCGATCGTCGGGTCATATAGCAAGAGATCTTTAACTATATTAATTACGGTGTTTTGTATATATTCGTATGCTGTATCATGCCATGATGCCATGTCATAAGATTTTAGGGTAACTGTGCTATATCACACCATTCCTCATCCTACTTCTAGGGATTTTACTACGTTATACCATGATATATTGTGTATCATACTGTGTTATACTACCATATGATAGTGTAGTATGTCATATGACATCATGTCATACTAGATTGCATTGCACAGTATCATGAATATCATACCACGCGTTCTTCGGTAATCAAGTTTTTTTGTATTGAAACTTTACTATAGAATACTGTACTATACTGTATTTTGGTACGTGATACCATATGGTACTCTATCGTAACTTATCATCTCATGTTCCTTCCAATACGCGTTCCTACATAGTGTGATATTACCCTTCATTTTGCTGGCCTATAATGTATACTATACTATGTAAACACTCATTTGAAGCACGCTATGATATAACATACTAGTTGGAGCTGAGCAAACCTCTCTTAGCTAGTGCTGTGTCATGTTATAATAGATAAGCCCTTGTTGATCTTATGTTGCCATGCATCTTAAAAGGTCCGTACCTTCCTGTATCTTATGTCATCTGAACAAACCTTCCTTACCTCCTCTTACACTTTGTTTTGTCATTCTCTATTATATGCTTAGTAAACCTTGATTCAGCATATACTATATGTACTGTATCGCAAAAGCGTTATGATAAACTAAAGCATGCTATGTCTACAACCTACTGCATTATGTTGGTTCATATGGTATTCCACTATGATACCAGATTGGTTGATCTTACACTTGTGTGATTTGTTGTGTATGTGTTGTACGGTGTATAATGCAGTATACTATGCAACCTGTCTATGCTGCTCTGGTCTGTTATAAAACTCTGTATTTCATTATGCTATGTTAAATTATGGTTTAAACCCTGCTCAATTACATTACCACATATGTTTCTCTTCTGTTTAATGCTTTGATACAACATGCTATAGTAAGTTATGATGTGTTACAGTGCACTACTTTTGCTTTCAAGCAGAAAAAAAGTTCCTGAGCACATACTCTTAGTATTACGAATGTGATCATCATGGCATGCATGACTGCTATTACCATGATGATAGTACTGTGGCTGTATTACATAAGCTAAGGAATATACCTTAAATCATATTAAGGATCCTACTATATTTTAAGGAATATTCCTTAATTAAGATATTTAAGATATTGGAGTCTCTGCGTTGGAAGGCTGGCAGTTTGGCTCCCGCATGGCGCGTCCAAGTGACACTGCGAGGTTCACTTCTGCAGCAAAAGGCAAAACCATAGGGGCTGAGTAGACTCGTCCAACACAGGTTAACACCTTTTCAATGTAGTTATGGCGAAGTTACCTACGAATAACCAACAAAAATGTGGCTAATATGTGAACGGATATATCTATGTATGTATATATATATATATATCTCTGTTTTATTTGTTGCATATTTCTAACTATTTGTTTCTACACCCAAAATGGCTAAAGGTTACCTACCCAGCCCCTAAGAAACACTGCAACAGAAGCGGGTGAAATCCGTTCTGGCTCGAAAGACTGGTCCAGAACCTTTCTAGCCTACTTGGAGGCCCGGGGGACTTAG